GCCCGCTCCCCTGCCATAGGCGGCCACATTCCTCCGTCTAGGGCTGAGAGCATGGACATTGGGGCATCCCCCCCCCAAACCTGAAGAAGGTCCATGATCTCCACCCTAGACCAGAAAAGCTCCCGCCTTCTCCAGCCCGTCAGGCTCCCAGTGAGCCTAATTTCAGTAACAGGCAAATTAATTGAAACTAAAGTTAAGAACAGAATTATCAGATACATAGATGAATAGGATTTGCTGGGGAAGAGTCAACATGACTTTTGTAAAAAGGAAATGATGCCTTGCCAATCTATTAGGATTCTCTGAAGGAGTCAACAAATATCCTAGATGCACTTGATGATTGTCCTGTTCTGTTCATTTCCTTTGAAGTGTCTGGCATTGGCCACTATCGGAAGACAGGATACTGGGCTAGATGGACTATTTGTCTGATTCAGTATGGCCGTTCCTATATAAATCCAAAAGTGTACCTGAAGCCTGCTTCTGGGTTTTGTTACAAACTGAAAACTATTTTACCATGAGTTTTATAAATCTAGTTTGAGCATTAAAGGACCTGGGCTGATTTGGGGTTGTAATATGGAAACCATGTGATATTCAGAGGCTTTACGTACTCCTACCTCACCTTACATGTATCTTCTCCAAGATCCAGACACCTCATTAGTGGAGGCATGCCTGCATGGCTCTACTAATTAGGGAGGGTGCACTATACAGTGGGTAGCCCTCTTTAGCATGGGTGGCTGCCCAGGTGCATGTCTTAGAGGGAACTACCTGAATGGTGTCCCCAGACCACAGTCTGAGAGCCTCTGGTATAGACGCTTCCTGACCCAACCAAAGGGGATTTTCCATCAAAGTTGTGACTCCACCTGTCTGAGATACAAGAGCTATGTTGCTCAAAACATTCTTCTATCAATTTAGCCCAAATTTATAGTAGGGGTTTGGTTGACCTAAGTACAATGCTCAGGGTGTTACATTTTTCACAGCCCTGTGCAATATAGCAAGATTGCTGTAACTCAGTGTTTCTCACCCAGTGATACACGTACCCTTATGGGTACTTGAGAGCAGTCTGGGGAGTACATCAACACAAAGGAAACTTGGAGAAAACTGAATTTTTGTTTTAAGTTTTACAGTGCTTTCGTATTTTTGTACTTATTACATCCAAAAATTTAATCGCCCGCCTGACTATGATTAAGTTGTTTAAGAAAATGTGTTGCAATGGTAGAACTTTTTGTTGTATGTCTGCAAACTGTAGGTACTGGGGACACTTAATTTTTTTTTTTAAAAAAAAGGCATACTTTATTAAAAAAAAGGTTGAGATGCTCAGCTCTAGCTGTTATATGGATAAACTTAAAAACCAGTGAGTTACAGACTAACTCAGCTACCCCTCTGAAGCTCTTGTTATGGGTAGGTCAGGCCTTAGTGTGGCTGAGAATTCATATCTCTGTTCAGTATTGGGGAGGAGTTTGTGTTGAATACGGTATTTCATCTGGCACTATCCCCATTGTAGTAGCAGGGGATTTTACCCCAACGTTTTTCTTTTTTCAGCCTTTTCATCTTCATATAGAACAAAAATAAATAAATAAATAAAAAGCTGTTGGTTCCCATTCCCAGAGCTCAGTCACCCTTTCTCTTGTCTATCTTATTACCCACGAGATGGAAGGAAACGCCACGTTCTGTCTCCTCAGATCCAGTCTCCGCTGGCCAGGGGGATGCTGTCGGACATGTTTCTTTTTTGCTGTCTCTCACAAAGTGACTGGCAGCCCCTGGAAGTGAAGTGGGCCCAAGCACTACTACCACCAGAAGAGATGCTCCCAACTGGGCCAACTGGGGGCAGGGCATGACCTGGGGCTACACAGCTCCAAGAGGGAGGTCTGCACTGTATCATAAACCTGGCCTATGGGACATGAGCTTGTGCTCTCTTTGTTCCCATGTTTGCATATGAGCCTCCAAACTTCACTGTGTTTACACGTGCTGGGCCTCCAGTTCAACGCCAAGCCAGCGCCTCCACAGTGCAGTGTGCAGAGCTTCCGGCCGGGGTCTGCACTTTGAGTGATGTCGACACACGCATCCAGCTAAGTGGATTGCTGCTCAGGAACGCCTATGCCCTAATAAATGTGCTAGGCTGTGTCTAGACTGGCCAGTTTTTCCGGAAAATCAGCCGCTTTTCCGGAAAAACTTGCCAGCTGTCTACACTGGCCGCTTGAATTTCCACAAAAGCACTGACTTCCTACTGTAAGAAATCAGTGCTTTTTGCGGAAATACTATGCTGCTCCCGTTCAGGCAAAAGTCCTTTTGTGCAAAAGGGCCAGTGTAGACAGCTCAGATTTGTTTTCCGCAAAAAAGCCCCGATCGCGAAAATGGCAATCAGGGCTTTTTTGCGGAAAAGCGCATCTAGATTGGCCACGGACGCTTTTCCACAAAAAGTGCTTTTGCAGAAAAGCATCCTGCCAATCTAGAAGCTCTTTTCTGAAAATGCTTTTAACGGAAAACTTTTCCATTAAAAGCATTGCCGGAAAATCATGCCAGTCTAGACACAGCCCTAGTGTTTAAGGTGCCCCAGTTGTGTCCACGCTGCAGAATGACAGGGCGTGGCCTTACGTCACGTGGCCTTGGGGCTCTAACCTGTCCCCACCAGAATTCTTGGCCCTAGACCTACGAGCTCATTGGCCCGAGTCAGACTGATCTGGCTGTGGAAGGAAGCAGGGCTTGGATTCAAATCTAAGTCAGAGCCCAGGCTTAATGTACAGTGTAGACAGACCCTAGAAAGACCCACTAAGGAAGGACTGACTGAGAGAGGCAGGAGCAGCAGAACTTCCCGAGATCCCTGGAAGGGGAAACAGTGAGAACTGGCACTGGACATGCCGGCTGAAAATGGTTTGTTGGCTTGCTTGGGTCTGAGACACTACAATTGCAGAGAAGATGCTAGGGGTGTGGCAGTGTTACCCTGGGATGCCGGGGACAAGCTCTGCCATGTAACATTGTTACTGGATCCTCTCTGCTCCTCCAAAAGCTTTTCTCAGGACTCGTTGAGCATCTTGTACAACTTCATCCAAAAACGTCTGTAGCATTTCATATGTGATGTTGTAAGATCTCTTTGCCATTATCCCGGTACCAATCAGTGGTACCACGATGATAAGATATTTAGCTGCCGTCATACGTTTCCCTGTGGCCTCCTTGAGCCGTCTACGAGCCTCCTCTCTTGTTACGTCTTTGACCATTGCAGACTGTATCACGGATTTCAGCTCATGAACAGACTTCCCCGCCTGCTTAGCGAGTGACGAGAGGGAGTCGTCATCCAGGCCAAAGGCCTTGCAGTACTCGGCCATGTTCTCCACCAAGATGTTGACTTCACACCGAACCAAGAGACCCGGCACCGGAACAGCAGCGATAGTGCAGGACTTCAGGGCTTGTTTCCAGATCTGTTCCTGCAGGGTCTTCAGTTTCTCTATCAAGATTTCTTCAGAGGTGCTGGGTAGGGCACAAAGGAGAATGTGCCTCTTGTGAGTGTCCAGGTCATTTGCCAAAGCCTCCTGCAGTTGGGGAGAATCGTACTTATCAAAATGCCGACTTGACACGATAAAAATCCGTGGGGTGCTCACATTTAGTTTGTTCAGCATCTCCAGACAGTTGTCTCTAATTTTCTGAAGAGTTTCCTGTTCACTGAAATTCAGTTTCTCTTTTTGATTAACCAAGTCTATGTCCACCTTGGAGCGGATGAAGTAAAACTTTTTCCTCGACCTCTGGATCTCTTTGGCAAGCATGATGTCAAGTTCAGTGACGCGCCCCCCTACCATGATGATGAAGAAATCATACTGATCAAAATTCACGTCCTTCAGGTATGTTTCTGCTGGATGATCCGGCGTTCCAATCCCAGGCAGGTCCCACACAATCACATTTGGGTGTGTGGGGTGGTCATAAGGAATTGGCTTTTTTGTTGCATCCATCGTCCCAGTCCAAGCTGCACTTTTGTCATTGTCAGTCAGGCCCCTGATGGCATTGACGAAAGACGACTTCCCAGTGCCCGCGTTCCCTGTGACAGCGATGTTGAGTTTGGTATTTCTTAGCAACTCGTCGGACTTCTTCACCACAGCAAGGGCTTTTGAGAGGTTCCCAGTTTTGGCAGCTTTCTGGAACTCTTGAGTTTCCTCCTCAGCCAGACCAGGCAGTTTGCTGCCCCATTTCAAAAACAAATTTGCCCAGTGAGATTTTGAATGTTCTGCCACTCTGAGAAAAAAAATCACAAGAGCCATTGTCAAAACCACAGTCGGTAGATGAAGCAAAATGCAGGACAATGTAGCACTTTAAAGACTAACAAGATGGTTTATTAGATGATGAGCTTTCGTGGGCCAGACCCACTTCCTCAGATCAAATAGTGGAAGAAAGTAGTCACAACCATATATACCAAAGGATACAATTTAAAAAAATGAACAAATATGAAAAGGACAAATCACATTGCAGAACAGAAGGGAGATGCGGGGGGGTGGGAAGGGGGAGGAAGGAAGGTAAGTGTCTGTGAATTGCTGATATTAAAGGTAGGGAGAGTGGGATGTTTGTGAGTTAATGGTATTACAGGTGATAATTGGGGAAACTGTCTTGGTAATGGGTGAGAAAGTTCAAAGACTTGTTAAGTCCTCGTTGGTAAGTGTCGAATTTTAACATGAATGACAGTTCAGAGGATTCCCTTTCAAGTGCAGATGTAAAAGGTCTTTGTAGCAGAATGCAGGTGGCTAAGTCATTTAGAGAGTGTCCTTTCTGGTTAAAGTGGCAAGAAACTGTTTTCTCTTTGTGATCTTGTCTGATATCTGTTTTGTGGGCATTAATCCTTTGGCGAAGTGTCTGAGATGTTTGTCCAATGTACATAGCAGACGGACACTTTCGGCACATGATAGCGTAGATTATATTTCTGGATGCGCAGGAATATGTGTTCTTGATCTTATAACTCACTTGGTTAGGTCCAATAATGGTATCAGCAGAATGAATATGTGGACAAAGCTGGCAACGGGGTTTGTTGCAAGGGAAGGTACCAGGGTTGGTATTAGTGTGGTATGTCCTGTGGTGGTTGGTAAGAATCATCTTGAGGTTAGGTGGTTGTCTATAGGAGACTATGGGTCTGTCTCCCAGAGCCTCTTTGAGTATGGTATCCTGTTCCAATATAGGCTGTAGTTTATTGATAATGTGTTGGACAGGTTTAAGTTGGGGGTTGTAGGTGATGACAAGTGGTGTTCTATTGTTGGTTTTCTTGGGTCTGTCTTGAAGTAGATGGTTTCTAGGTATTCGTCTGGCTCTTTCAATTTGCTTTTTTGTTTCTCTGGGTGGGTAGTTGAGATTTATAAATGCTTGGTAGAGATCCTGAAGCTTCTGGTCTCTGTCAGTGGGGTTAGAGCAGATGCGGTTGTATCGAAGGGCTTGGCTATAGACGATGGATCGTGTGGTGTGTTCTGGATGGGAGCTGGATGCATGTAGGTAACTGTATGAGTCAGTGGGTTTTCTGTAGAGAGTGGTGTCTAATTTTCCATTGTTGATTTGTACGGTGGTGTCCAGGAAGTGGATCTCTCGTGTAGAATGGTCCAGGCTGAGGTTGATGGTGGGGTGTAGGTTGTTGAAATCTCTGTGGAATATCTCCAGTGTTTCTTGGCCATGTGTCCAGATCATGAAGATGTCATCGATGTACCGTAGGTAGAGGAGAGGTGAAAGGGGACGGGAGTTGAGGAAACGTTGTTCTAGGTCAGCCATAAAGATGTTAGCATACTGTGGGGCCATGCGTGTACCCATGGCTGTGCCGCTGATCTGGAGGTATAAGTTGTTCTCAAACCGGAAATAATTGTGGGTGAGAACAAAGTTACATAGGTCTGCTATCAGGTTGGCAGTAGTGTCCTCTGGGATAGTGTTTCTAATTGCTTGTAATCCGTCTTCATGTGGGATGTTGGTATATAGAGCTTCTACATCCATGGTGGCAAGGATGGTATTATTGGGGAGGTTATCGATGTTTTGTAGTTTCCTTAGGAAGTCAGTAGTGTCTCGGAGATAGCTGGGGGGATTGGTTACGAAGGGTTTGAGAAGAGTGTCTACATAGCTGGATAGACCAGTAGTGAGCGTGCCAATACCAGAGATGATGGGACGTCCGGGGTGCCCAGGTTTATGGATCTTGGGAAGTAGATAGAACAATCCTGGTCGGGGGTCAGAAGGTGATTCTGTGAGGATTTGTTCCCGAGTAGCTGTGGGGAGGCTTTTAAGGAGACAGTGTAGTTTCTTTTGGTAGTCCAAGGTGGGATCAGAGGGGAGAGGTTTGTAAAATGTGGTGTTCGAGAGTTGTCTGGTTGCCTCCTGGTTATAGTCGGCCTTATTCATAATGACCACAGTACCCCCTTTGTCAGCTGGTTTGATTACAATGTCCAGGTTGTTTTTGAGACTCTGGATGGCATGGTGTTCAGCGCGGCTAAGATTGTGTGTCGCTTGTTGTCGTTTGCGAATAATGTCAGTCTGTGCGTTGTTGCGGAAGCTGTGTATATAGAAATCCAGATTGTAATTCCGACCGTCAGGGGGAGTCCATATAGAATTATTTTTCCTTTGGTGTTGGTAGGGGGGATCTGGTAGGTCAGATTGATGTTCAGTGGTGGTTTGGAAATATTCTCGGAGACGGAGGCGGCGAAAAAAAGCCTCAAGGTCACCACAAAATTGTATCCAGTTTGTGGGGGACGTGGGGCAGAAAGAGAGACCCCGGGACAAGACAGACTCTTCTGCTGGATTGAGTTTGTAGCTGGAGAGGTTAACAATATTATCCGGTGGGTTGAGGCAGTTGCTGTTGTTCTATCACAGTCGGTAGAGTCAGAGTCATGGTCTACATCTAGGCTGCAGTGCTTTTCCGGGATACTAGAGGTATCGCAGAAAAGCAATGCTATGTCCAAGGCGCACATCTGCTTTTCTGAAAAAAAAATCAGGGAAGCAGATGCATTCTTTCGCCAACCCTATAAACCTTGTTGTACAAGGAAGAAGGGAAGTGCCGAAGGAGCAGGTTTTTCTGAAATTTGGCGCTGTGTAGATATGCCAAATTTTGGAAAAACCTCTTCTGAAAGAAAAGCAGGAAAAGATATGGAAATTGTGGTTTGTGTATCTTTTTCTGACTTTCCTGCGTAGTCTAGATGTAGCCATAGAGACAGAGTCCAAGAACAGATCATCTAGTCTGACATGCTGTATGTCACAGAACACTCCCAGCCACCAGCACTTTCACACTAATCCCAGCAACCAAAGTGAGACCCAAAGGCTACGTCTAGACTACATCCCTTTTTCAGAAAAGGGATGTGAATTAGACGTATCATAATTGCTAATGAAGCGGGGATTTAAATCTCCCGTGCTTCATTAGCATAAAAATGGCTGCCTTTTTTTGGCACGGAGCTTTGTCAGAAAAAAGCGGCAGTCTAGATGCTGATCTTTCGAAAAATAAAGCCTTTTTCGAAAGATCCCTTATCCCTCATGAAATATATCTCATGCAGTGGCCAGAGAGCACTGAGCTGCCAGGAAAAGCCTTAGAAAAAATTGCAGTGCTTCATTTTTAAGTTTCTGAAGTCACAGGAAATCTCCCCCTGGCTCCCAGTAACTGACCAGGATCTGACCACCTGATTTCATATCACTACAGGGCTCGGCAGCCTTTTCAAACCAAAGAGCCAACCACATCAAAATCTAGACCGAGAGGTCAACAAAGAGCCGTTCAAGAATGCCCATTTGCATGACTGAGGATATACAACTTCATATTATGGATAATTGACACATTGACTAATAACAGCATAAATGAACCATTGCACTGACAGACTTTACTGAATAAGACTTCTGCTGCTACATCTTTTCACATATTTATTTAAAGTTTACATCAGACCTGGTCAAATCCAGCTTCATGAGGTATTCGGGCTGTCTTCTGTCAATCTTATGGTAGGGGTAGGGATGTGAGGGTATGTCTACACTGCCACCGCAATTCGAACTAGGGTGGCTAATGTAGGCATTCAAACTTGCAAATGAAGCCCAGGATTTAAATATCCCTGGCTTCATTTGCATGTTCCCGGGCGCCGCCATTTTAAAATGCCCCGTAGTTTGAACTACCTGCCCGCAGCTACACGCGGTGCGGACTAGATAGTTCGAATTAAAGCTCCTAGTTCGAACTACCATTATTCCTCCTGCAAGGAGGTTTAACGGTAGTTCAAATTAGGAGCTTTAATTCGAACTACGTAGCCCGTGCCGCGTGTAGCCGTGGGCAGGTAGTTTGAACTACGGGGAATTTAAAAATGGCGGCACTTGGGAACATGCAAATGAAGCCAGGGATATTTAAATCCTGGGCTTCATTTGCAAGTTCGAATGCCTACATTAGCCACCCTAGTTCGAACTGGGATGGCAGTGTAGACATACCCTGAGGGTGCATGAGTTTGGGTTGGAATGAGAAGGGGCTCAGGGCAGGGGAGTTGGATATATGATGGGCTCAGGGCACAGGTTTGGGATGTATGGATGGTTCAGGAGTTTTGTGGCTGGGGACTGGGGGCTTGCAGGTGCAGGTATCTGGGAATAAGAGGGGCTCAGGGCAGGGGGTTCAGGTGTTTGATGGGCCCAAGTCTGGGATATGAGGAGTGCAGGAATATTATGACGCTGCAGCCAGATGGCGTCTGGGCCCAACTGGGGGCTTGTTGGCCAAGCTTAATTTTGAGTTTGGGTTGGAATGAGAAGGGGCTCAGGGCAGGGGAGTTGGATATATGATGGGCTCAGGGCACAGGTTTGGGATGTATGGATGGTTCAGGAGTTTTGTGGCTGGGGACTGGGGGCTTGCAGGTGCAGGTATCTGGGAATAAGAGGGGCTCAGGGCAGGGGGTTCAGGTGTTTGATGGGCCCAAGTCTGGGATATGAGGAGTGCAGGAATATTATGACGCTGCAGCCAGATGGCGTCTGGGCCCAACTGGGGGCTTGTTGGCCAAGCTTAATTTTTAAATAAAATATTATGTCCAGCAAAAAGGTTTCAACATTGTCTTTACTTATGGGAGGAGTGGAGAACCTTTTTTGGGTTGGGGTCACTGACCCACAGAAAAATCAGTTGGAGATGACACAAGTGAGAAGCAAAAAAACCAAGCCCCTTCAGAAGCCTCCATCACTCACTAAGGGGGCAGAACCAGGGTGCAGCTGGATGTCTGGCCAGGGGGCAGACGCAGGATGCTGGTGAGTGTCTAGCCAGGTGACACAAATAGGAGCTACTAAGGAAAATCTGACTTACCTGGAGAGTGAGGAAAAGATTAAGCAACTGGAGATGCACCTGAGGGAGGGGGCTCAGGCATTCAGCCAATGAAATGCAGATAAGGAATTTCAAACCAAGAGAGAGGGTTTTTCTTTCTCTCTTCTTTGTTTGAGATCAAAGCAGTTTTTCCAGGTATGGAGGGAGATGGGCTTTCTGAGGAATGGACTTCTTAAAATGTGTAAGTAGGAAAATGTTTAGATAGTCCATCAGTCTTTATTGTTTTCCTTGTTTGGGGGGTTGGAGATCATGTCTGAGCTGGCTAATTGTTTTTCTCTTTTGTAACTAAGGATTATAGCCCAGGGATTTTTCATTACTCTGTTTCATTCCATGGCTATTTAACACCCAGTCATTTACTATGCTTGCAACAGTAGTTTTGTTTTGTTAATAAAAGTGGGGGAGTTTTGGTTTTGATTAACCGGTATTGGTTGATTGTTGTGTCTTTAAGCCTATGGTAGCAGAGCCCATTGTTTTCTGTGGAAAATGGATCTCTTGAGGATCCCCTCCATGATTTTTCCGGGGACTGAGGTAAGGCTGACAGGTCTATAGTTCCCTGCATTTTCCTTCATCCCTTTTTTAAAGATGGGCACTACATTTACCTTTTTCCAATCATCCAGGATCTCTCCCAATCTCATGAGTTTTCAAGGCTAATGGCCAAAGGCTCTGAAATGACATTTGTCAACTCCCTTAGTACCCTCAGATGCATTGAATCTGGACCCTGATGTACTGCGTCCAATTCTGGGTTCCCCCACTATAGAAAGGATGTGGGCTCATTGGAGACAGTCCAGCAGAGGGCAACAAAAATGATTCAGGGGATGGAGCACATGACTTATGAGGAGAGACTGAAAAATTTGGGTTTGTTCAGTCTGTAGAAGAGAAGAGTGAGGGAGGATTTGATAGCAGCCTTCAAACCCTGCAGGGGGGTTCCAAAGAGGCTGGCGAGAGGCTGTTCTCAAGGGTGGCAGATGGCAGAACAAGGAGCAATGGTCTCAAGTTGCAGGGAGGAGGTCTAGGTTGGATAGTAGGATAAACTATTTCCCTAGGAGGGTGGGGGAGCACTGGGCTGGGTTCCCTAGAGAGGAGGGAGGGGGTGGAATCTCCATCCCTTGGGGTGTTTAAGTCCTGGCTTGACAAAGCCCTGGCTGGGCTGATTGAATTGGGGTTGGTCCTACTTTGGGCAGGGGGTTGGACTCTGACTCCTGAAGTCTCTGCCAGCCCTGGGGTTCTATGATCCCATGAATCTGTTACCTGGAAACTCCATGCAAACTGGAACCTCTGGGAAATTACCTTGATGTCACTTGGGAAACACTGGGGTGCTGAGACTTGACACCGCACTGGACCAAGACTGCACATTCCAGGTATGTGAATCTGGGATCAAAGAAATGTCTCTTCCATGACCTGGCAGAGCTCAGCAAATTACTGCAACAAAAAGGTAAAGAGTGGCCCCATTTGGAGCTGAAGAAAATTCTTAGGATCTACAGTGCTCTAGTCTCGTGGACAAAGTCCTGTTTGCTCGCCACCCTGCATCTGGCCAGTTGTCACTGGCAAGTAGAGGCAAGCACCAAATGATGGACTGACGATGGCATTCAGCAGTGAACACAACCTTGCCAAATGTCATGCCGTGCCTTCGGGATTCTGTAGTTCCACCAACATGTTCCAAAGGCTGATGGATGCTTTACTGGCAGACCTACAGGACACATTTTGCCTGGTGTATCTGGATGGCCATTGTAACTGAGAGACTATTTGGGGATCTCTTGCAGAAACTGGGTGCTGTGCTGGAAAGGCTACAGCAAGCTAATTGAAAGGTGAAATCAGCAACATCCTTTTTTTTCTGTAACAAAATAAATTACCCGCGTCATGTGATCTTAAGGGATGGAGCAGGACTGGGGCTAAGTTCCAAGCCAGTGTGTTTGTAGGCAGCCTGATGTCAGAGTAACGAGGTGGCTCACGATGGCATGGTATGGCCATTGATCCTGAGCACCATGAATTTACAGAGATATGAATCAAAGCCAACATGATTCTGGGCTGCATTAACAGGAGTGTTGTGAGAAAGACATGAGACATCACTCTTCCGCTCTACTCTGCGCTGGTTAGGCCTCAATTGGAGTATTGTGTCCAGTTCTGGGCACCGCATTTCAAGAAAGACGTGGAGAAATTGGAGAGGGTACAGAGAAGAGCAACGAGAATGATGAAAGGTCTAGAGAACATGAGCTAAGGAAGACTGAAGGAATTGGGCTTGTTTTGTTTGGAAAGGAGAAGCCTCAGAGGGGACATGATAGTGTTTTTCAGGTATCTACAAGGGTGTCACAATAAGGAGGGAAAGAACTTGTTCTCTTTGGCCTCTGAGGATAGAACAAGAAGCAACGGGCTTAAACTGCAGCAAGGGAGGTTTAGGTTGGACATTAGGAAAAAGTTCCTGCCTCTCAGGGCTGTCAAACACTGGAATAAATTGCCCAGGGAGGTTGTGGAATCCCCATCCCTGGGGATATTTAAGACCGGGTTAGATAAATGTCTATCAGGGATGATCTAGACAGTACTCAGTCCTGCCATGAGGACAGGGGACTGGACTTGATGACCTCTCGAGGTCCCTTCCAGTTTTAAGTGTTCTATGGCTCTATTAATGCTCCCTGTCTAAAAACCAAATCTTGCCTTCGATCCAGAGTCTGGAAGGTGAACGATACCCCAGAAGAAGGGTTATTGGGTGGCCTGTGTAAGGACTATGCTGCTCAGTCCTGTTGCTTTCGTAGACAACAGGAATCTGTTTCACAGACAACAGACAAGAGCTACCTCCCTTCTGGTTCCAGGATTTGGCTCCTCACACTAGATGGGACAGGATCCTTATTTTTGATGTTTTTCTCACTTAATATTATTTTAAATATTAACTAACGACCTGACCAAGGAACGGACCAAAGGGGTTTCTTACCCACTGCTCCCGGAGGCTTCAGTGGTCCCGACCATCTCTGTCTTGTGGCTGTAAAGCTCCTTTAGCAAAGTCTTCTGCAGCTGCGGGGAATCGTATTTCTGAAATTCCCTACTCGAGACGAGGAAAACCTGTGGGGAGCTCATCCCTTCCTTTCGCAGGTTCTTGACACAGTCCTCTCTGATTTTCCGCAGTATTTTCTCCTCATTAAATCTCCTTTTGTGTTTTTCATTGTATAAGTCCAAGTCCACTTTGGAGCGCACAAAGTAACATTTCTTCCCCAGCCGGTGGATCTCCTGGGCCAGCGCGCTATGGCAGTTTCTTCTCCTCTCTGAAGCGATGATGATGAAGACGTCATAGCAACTGAACTTCACTTGTTTCAGATAAGTGCTTGGCTGAAAGACTGGGGACCCAACTGCTGGCAGGTCCCAGACTATCACCGTGGGGCACGTAGGATGCCAATATGGTACTGGTTCTTTGGTCACTTCCAGCACACCGGCTTCAGCAGCACCTTCATCTTCCTCTCCCAAACCCAGGATGGCATTGACCAACGATGATCTTCCAGAACCTGACTTGCCCATGATGGCAATATTGAACTCAGAGTCTGAAAAATTAAACTTCTGCACCACAGATGCTGCTCCTGAGAAGTTTCCAGCTTTGATCGCAGCCTCGATCTGTTTAGTTTGCTCCACAGACAAACCAGGAAGAGCATTTCTACATTCTTCATATAGGTCACCAGAGGGAGCTTTGAGATCAGCCATCTTCTTAGGAAAAGAAATGATATTGTCAGTCCTATTTCCCCCACAGGCTCCACCAGTACATTGTAACCTGAATACCAGTAAATAATTCCCCGCCCCGGGCCAGGAATTTAACTGATCATAAATAAACCTTCAGGCTTAAATGGATGGAGCTTTGGAGCTAACTTTCTGTTATTAGTTTGAAGCCTGCTACCCATTCATTTCATTTGGTGTCCTCTAGTCCTTCTATTATGGGAACTAATGAAGAACTTTTCTTCGTGCATTTTCTCCACACCGCTCATGCTTTTATAGACCTCTATCATATCCCCCTCAGTCTCCTCCTTTCTAAGCTGAAAAGTCCCAGTCTCTTTAGCCTCTCTTCATATGGGACCTGTTCCAAACCCCTAATGATTTTAGTTGCCCTTTTCTGAACCCTTTCCAAGGCCAAAACATCTTTTTTGAGGTGAGGAGACCACATCTGTACACAGTACTGAAGATATGACGTACCATTGTTTGATACTTCCCCTCCTCCTTCTTCCCCTGGCTTCCCCCTTCCAGCTCCCTCCTCCCAGGTTTCCCCCTCCCCTCTCCTCTCCCATCTTCTCTCTTCCCCTCTCTCATCTCCTTTTTCCAGCCTCCCCAGAGGTTAGTCCCCCCCCCCCCAGTTTTGTTAAATAAAGAGAGTTTCCATTTTTGAACACACGTGTCCTTTATTTTTTACATCAGGAAGGGGGGCTAGGGAGGGGTAAGTGGAAGGAGGTGTGGGAGGAATGGGGCACAAACCCCCGATGGGGAGGACTGGGGTTGCTCTACGGGCTCCTCAGGGTGGAAGCTCTCCTGCAGGGCCTCCTGGATCCTGACAGCCCCCTGATTGACCTCCCCGGATGGCAGCCTGCAGCACGTGCAGCTGGGCTGATGGCCGAGTGCTGTGATGTGCCGAGTGAAGGCACTCAGGGCACTCCAAGACAGGACTGCTTTGCTGTCCCTTATCGAGGTAGACAAGCAAGCGGGGAACCCTGAGAACTGTCTGTCGGGGTGGGGGTCGGGTCCCTTTAAACACAGCCCTCGGCTAGCCTGAGGCAGCAGCTCCACGCTCTAAGTCCTAACCTGATGCCCTGCCGGCACTGCTTCCGGCCAGCCTTAATTTCAGTTCAGGGTCCACTCATTGTGGACATGGTAGTTTGAATTAGCAAAACGCTAATTCTAATTAGCTTTTAGGTCTAGATGCACTAGTTCGAATTAGCTTAGTTTGAATTAACTAATTCGAATTAAGTTAGTTCGAATTAGTGCTGTAGTGTAGACATACACTCCCATGGGGATTTTTGCAGTGTGGACAGAGTCCCAGGTTGTGGGAGCTTGTTCACACCCAGCTCAGCTGCTAACATGGAATGGGTCTGAAGAAATAGCAGCAGCTCATAAGATATTACAGACGAGGTGAGTGAGGTGCAGAGCATGGGGGAATTGCCTTACCCAGTGCTCCTGAAGGAGTCGAAGATCCTTGCAGAAACAGAGTAGAGGAGTACAGTTCAGATTGTACAGGACATGTATTGATCCTGCCGTCTCGCTCCTTGTGGATCTTGTTCTCTCTTCCCTTTTATAGGAGTCAGGTGTTTGCTCTGGGTGTGTAATATACAAACCTGGAAATCTCTAGAGCTATTTGTTTCTTGCAAATATCTTCAGATTCCACACCCTTTTCCTGCTCTTGCTGCCTACTGGCAGCTATACACATTTCTTCTGTCACTACCAACGTCACCTCTCGTTTTCAATCCTTCCACTGGGTGATAAAGTAATGCACATCAAAATAATTCACTTTTTAGGTGTGGGATATTGGGTCAAATACAACACAAGGAATCAGGACTCCTGTGTTCCATTCTCAGACCTGGGAAGGGTGTGAGGTCTGGAAGGTCAGATCAGTGAGGGTATGTCTACACTACAGCACTAATTCGAACTAACTTAATTTGAATTAGTTAATTCAAACTAAGCTAATCCAAACTAGCGCATCTAGACCTAAAAACTAATTTGAATTAGCGTTTTGCTAATTTGAACTAGCATGTCCACATTGAGTGGACCCTGAACCGAGGTTAAGGCTGGCCGGAAGCAGTGCCGGCAGGGCATCAGGTTAGGACTTAGAATGTGGAGCTGCTGTCTCAGACTAGCTGAGGGCTGTGCTTAAAGGGACCCGACCCCCACCCCGGACAGACAGTTCTCAGGATTCCCCGCTCGCTTGTCTAACTCGATGAGGGACAGCAAAGCAGTCCTGGCTTGGAGTGCCCTGAATGCCCACACTCGGCACATCACAGCACTCGGCCATCAGCCCGGCTGCAATTGCCGCAGGCTGCCATCTGTGGGGGGTCAATCGGGGAGCTGTCAGGATCCAGGAGACCCTGCAGGAGAGCTTCCACCCCAAGGAGCCCACAGAGCCACCCCAGTCCTCCCCATCAGGGGCTCGTACCCCATTCCTCCCTCACCTCCTTCCACTTACCCCTCCCTAGCCCCCTCACCTCCTTCCACTTACCTCTCCCTAGCCCCCCTTCCTGATGTAAAAAATAAAGGATACGTGTGTTCAAAAATAGAAATTCTCTTTATTTAACAAAACTGGGGGTGGGAGGGGATGAACCTCTGGGGAGACTGGGAAAAGGAGGTGGGAGAGGGGAAGAGAGAGGGTGGGAGAGGGGAGGGGGAAACCTGGGAGGAGGGAGCTGGAAGGCGGAAGCCAGGGGAAGGAGGAGGAGGGGAAGTATCAAACTATGGTACGTCATATCTTCAGTACTGTGTACAGATGTGGTCTCCTCACCTCAAAAAAGATGTTTTGGCCTTGGAAAGGGTTCCGAAAAGGGCAACTAAAATAATCAGGGATTTGAAACAGATCCCATATGAAGAGAGGCTAAAGAGACTGGGACTTTTCAGCTTAGAAAAGAGGAGACTGAGGGGGTATATGATAGAGGTCCATAAAATCATGAGTGGTGTGGAGAAGGTGCACGAAGAAAAGTTCTTCATTAGTTCCCATAATAGGAGGACTAGAGGACACCAAATGAAATGAATGGGTAGCAAGCTTCAAACTTATAAAAGACAGTTTTTCACAAAGCAAATAGTCAACCTGTGGAACTCCTTGCCACAGGAGGCTGTGAAGGCTTGAACTATAACAGAGTTTAAACGGAAATTAGATAAATTCATGGAGGTTGGGTCCATGGAGTGCGATTATCCAGGGGGTAGGAACGGTTTCCCTGGCCTCTGTTTGTGGAAGGCTGGAGATGGATGGCACGAAAGAAATGTCTTGGTCATCGTCTTCGGTCCATCCCCTCTGGGGTAGCTGGTGCTGGCCGCTGTCGGCAGACAGGCTACTGGGCTAGATGGACTTTTGGTCTCATCCAGTACGGCCGTTCTTATGTTCTAAGCTCAGGGCTCAGGGTCGGGGGTCTCACTGTACCAACTTGATTTTCATGCAAACCTGCTCCTGGGTTTGTATGTGGCCTTTGGTGGCCAGGCTGGCAGCTATCCTGCCATAGTTCTAAGCTCAGGGCTCAGGGTCGGGGGTCTCACTGGACCAACTTGATTTTCATGCAAATCTGCTCCTGGGTTCGCATGTGGCCTTTGCTGGCTAAGCTGGCAGCTATCCTGCCCTAGACGGCCACTTCCCTGTGCCTAGTGCAGAGGTTGTGGACGTTGGAGGCCTCCCCCCAAACCTCGATGAGGTCCACGATCTCCGCACTAGACCAGGCAGGCACCCGCCTTTTGCAGCCCCGGGCAGGCTTCTGGGAGCCACCAGCCTGGTCCTGGGATGAGGCGGAGGGCCGGGGG